AGTGAAAACAAAGACAAATATGTTTCAAACTTGCATTGTATTCACCCAAGTCATTATTCTATCATAGTTCACAAAATGCATCAGATAACAAAGAAAAATATGTTTCAAACTAATACCCTGAAGTTAGTATTTGTCTTTGTTTTGTCTATTGGTTGAAGTAATGCAATCCATTCAAGTTTCAATTTGCAGAAGAAGAAATAGTTTACTTTCGCAACACGAAACTTAAAATCGCAACGCGAAACCAAAATCGCAACGCGAAATGAAAATCGCAACGACAGAATCGCAATGCGAAATGAAAATCGCAACGAAAGAATCGCAACGCGAAATGAAAATCGCAATGCGATTTTGGTTTCGCTTTGCGATTTTGGTTTCGCGTTGCGATTCTGTCGTTGCGATTTTCATTTCGCGTTGCGATTTTAAGTTTCGTGTTGCGAAAGTAAACTATTTCTTCTTCTGCAAATTGAAACTTGAATGGATTGCATTACTTCAACCAAAAGACAAAACAAAGACAAATATTATTTCACAGTGTTAAAGAATACACAGTTTAGCAGAATTGGCAGCAACCGAACAAATTTACTTTCAACCAAAAGACAAAACAAAGACAAATACTATTTCACAGTGTTAAAGAATACACAGTTTAGCAGAATTGGCAGCAACCGAACAAATTTACTTTCAACCAAAAGACAAAACAAAGACAAATACTATTTCACAGTGTTAAAGAATACACAGTTTAGCAGAATTGGCAGCAACCGAACAAATTTACTTTCAACCAAAAGACAAAACAAAGACAAATACTATTTCACAGTGTTAAAGAATACACAGTTTAGCAGAATTGGCAGCAACCGAACAAATTTACTTTCAACCAAAAGACAAAACAAAGACAAATACTATTTCACAGTGTTAAAGAATACACAGTTTAGCAGAATTGGCAGCAACCGAATAAATTTACTAAGCAATCTAAGTGAAATGGCTAATCTAAGTGAAATTACGAGTAAATTTATCATTAAGTTAAATATGGAAAATCTTAAACTTACCTCGTTGCGTAGAGTATGAACCTCATTCTGCAACGATACTATCATCTCACGTAGAGCGGCAACCTCACCACGTAAAGTTGACACCTCCACACGCCATGCACCATCGTTATCGCGTAGAGTACCGATCTCCTCACGCAAGGCATTGACCTCATCACGTAACTCCCTTGACTCATCCCGTGGAGGTGGAGGTGGAGAACAGGGAGATAGGAGTCGTGGCATCTTTGCCGGTCGCCTATCATGAGGTGATGGTGGAGAAGAGGCTCGATGATGTGACGGGATAGGTGATGGCTCTCGTTCTAGAGGTGTATAGTCGGGTCGATCGGGTGATGGCTCTAGGTGAGGTGATGGCTCTCGAATTGGAGGAAGTGGATGCTGCTCATCATCCGTGCCATCAAAAAAACTCTGACTAGCTTGCCACCAATCAGTGGCAAGCTCTTCCTCCGTGGGTGTCAGTCTTTGTAATGGAATGTTGGCCTCCTAAAATATAAAAACTCAAACAAAGTTAAACGTCTACTATTAATAACTTGTTTATATATTATATGAAAGTATTTGTGTTAACTTACATTATTTATTGTCGCATATGGTATTAAGTCTTCCCAATCCAACAGAGTTTTCCTCTTCCAGGAAATAGCCCTGGGAATATCATTTGACGTTTTTATTGCATATGTACGCATGCTGGGGAAAGCCTCGAATATCCAAATCTACAAACAATATAATAACAAAATTAGTAATTGTTAAATAATTAATTATAATTTTAGAAACATTATATAGAAATTCTTACCTTAAAGGCCCAAACAAAGCCTGACAAAGTGTATTTGGACCCATCGCCCCGCAAACTTTTGCGGTCATCAAAGGCAGACGACAACTTAGTCCAGGTAGCTTTCCATATATACGAACCCCACGGAAACAGATTCCATGCATTCAGGTCCTCTACCAATATTATTAGCTCCCGATGAATAGGTTGTCTGGCCTCTCTGCCTAAAAAGCCGGCATACACAAGTAGTAGAAGGCATACTCGGACAACATCGACGTCATCCATCCGAGTGAAACCAGCTTTCTTATTAAACAATTTCTTCAGGTCGTCGACATGTAGGTTCGACTTCTCCATTGACTCATCCGGAAAAACCCGGGATAACCATGATGGGCGGGCGATATGACGAGTGTACCGGCCTACATCATCGTGTCCGAATCGTAGACCAGTGATTAAGCAGAACTCCTTCCGCCCAAAACAAGTATACGCTGGTGGAAAATGAAACCATATCTCTTCCTCACCACGTTGTATACTGTCGGGTAGATTTGATGTCATGGTCTGAAGCCACAAATGGGTCAAATTAGCATCTCCACCCGGATGCTGTACTCTCAGCCATGGCCCGAAGCAGGTTTCCTCAAACAATTGTCTTTGAGCAGGTGAAAGCTTCGAAGCAATTGTAGTGGCCAGGCTGACTTTATTTCTCAAGGTCAATTGAGCCGAAAAAAATTTCTACAAAAACAATAAACATACCAAGTTAGATATACCAAAAACTACACTGTGAAGATATACCAAAAACAATAAACATAAAAAGTAGTAGTTTATTCTTGAAACTAAAATTTGCAACACTGTTTTGTCTTTTGGTTGAAATGAAAATCGCAACGAGAGAATCGCAACGCGAAATGACAATCGCAACGAGAGAATCGCAACGCGAAATGAAAATCGCAACGAGAGAATCGCAACGCGAAATGAAAATCGCAATGCGATTTTGGTTTCGCGTTGCGATTCTCTCGTTGCGATTTTCATTTCGCGTTGCGATTCTCTCGTTGCGATTTTCATTTCTCTCGTTGCGACAGTCATTCTCTCGTTGCGATTTTCATTTATCTCGTTGCAACTCTTCTGCAAATTGAAACTTGAATGGATTGCATTACTTCAACCAAAAGACAGAACAAAGACAAAGACAAATACTAACTTGAAAATCGCAACGAGAGAATAGCAACGCGAAATGAAAATCGCAACGACAGAATCGTAACGCGAAATGAAATCTAAGTGAAATGGTTAATCTATTATTGAAATGACCAGTAAACTTATCATCAGTTTCAATATGAAAAACCTACAATAATGCAAACATTTCAAAATAAAAATAATTAAAAAAACTAACCCTCGGAGGTTGATTTTCCATTTCTGAATATTGTGAGGGATTTCTGACCGTGAATGGTTGTGAGGGATTTCGCCGGAGATGGGGACGGAAATCTTCGGAGATGGGGACGGATTTCTTCGCCGTAGAGAGTGAGAGATGGAGATGGGACTGAGTTGTGATTTTAGGTTTTAGGTTATGAGTTGCGATTACGGGATTTTGTCTTAATATTCGTTTTTGTAATTTGAAAATAAAATACGCGTAGCGATTATAATGGCGCTTTAAATATCGCATTGCGATTTACGGATACGCGTTGCGATTTTATGTATTATCGTTGCGATTTACGGATACGCGTTGCGATATACGGATACGCATTGCGATTTACCCATACGCGTTGCGATTTACGGATACACGTTGCGATTTACGGATACGCGTTGCGATTTATGTGTTCGCGTTGCGATTTTCATATTCGCGTTGCGATTTTGGAAAATCGCAATGCGAATTTGTACTATCGCATTGCGATTTTCAAGAATCGCGTTGCGATTTTGGAAACTGATTTGCGATTCTGGGGATCGCGTTGCGATTTTTATTTCGCGTTGCGATTTTGTTGGTCATTTTGGCAAATCCAAAAAAAGTTGGTTAAAATCGTATATTATAAGGCATTTTTGGTCACTGAGGCGATTTTCTCTTATGTTTATTGATTCTCTTGTTAAATACTTCATTAGGTCAAAAATTTAAAATAGGTTACTATGTGAAATCCCATAAAATACCTTGTAAATCTACTGGGTTAAACACGACTCAAAATAATTATTTTTTTCTTCTCTAATTTTTTTGTGATAGATGAAGGCAATAAAATAATTTGTGATCTTTGTAGAAGTGCGACTGTAGTTGATCATATAGTTGTTGTATCTTGGGAGATAGATAACCAATGATCTCAAGCACCATATGAATAACCGAAATTATGCTTAAAGAAACTATATCGCTACAGGCCTCAACTTGTTTCCAATTTATTATTTTGTTAGCAATCGAGCTTTTGTTCTAAATTGTTCTATTCAATAATTAATAAAAATATTATTTTTTTTAATTTTCGTCTTGAATTATTATATCTTATAACATATAGAAATAGATATAAAATTAAAATTTAATAAAATAAATATTTCCTAAAAGGAAAGGAAAAACAAAGTTTTAGTTACAAGGCAGGCATTAGGTGTTGCGGGCGTTCCAAGGTTCGTAGGGTACAGTCAAGAGTAATCAATAAACGAGTACCTATAATAACAATCCAAATACAGTTGATGCATTAAACTCGGGATCCTGTCACAGCCTGCTCAGTGATTTCACGATAAGAACCGACATGTTCGAAAACGGTTTTCCTGTCACGTTTTATTCGAGGACACGCGCACAAATTTAATTTTGATATTAACTTTCTTTTTTATATTTAAAGTTTATGAATATTCTTCCACTCTGGGTCAATTGCATTGCATCTGCTGGCTATATGGTAATGATCGGTTTCCTTGTTAAGTCTCCCATGGATGCAGAACTGCTGATTACAAATGGAACCACAAGTTTCGACCTTTTTTATATAATGGCTTCGTTTAAGAGGTTCGAATCGATGGTAAAAACTTCGAGTTTGCTGGTTCGGTTGATGATATGAGAGCAGTAGATCGCCGCGGCATAGGTGGAATGCGACCTCGAAACAAGATTACTTATGCACACCATGGAGCAGCCTGTCAATTATAGCAGCTGCTGTTCTGCTAGTACTATCTTTCAAGTCATCTAGACCAGATTGTTGACTGCATGAACTTGTGTGGGACTTAATTTACTTGATTTATGTAACCACGTTTGGCATCCAACAACTTTGAAGTTCAATGCACAAGTTTAGTTCCCTCCATTAGCACCATCTGAAATGATGGGTAGTATTTATGTACAGCATTCATTTGGCACCATACATTGAACTTGTCGATTTTACACAGAAGATGCCTAATGCTAATACAAGAGAGAAAGGAATCAGATAGAGTAGGGTCCCTCCCTCAGCCAATCTTCTCGGTGTTTGTATCATCGGAGGGCCAAACGACGGTCTCCGTGAGCCGCTCCCGCATCAGTTCCAAGTTCTCGTCGGAAATCTCCTTGTATATTTGAGCATGATCACATATCTATACCAACACAACACACAAGGTCACAACATACGTATATATTCTATTCTATTTATATATGCTGAAGAGACTTGTAATTACCTTAATCCATTTCCCATACAAATGAAGCCTTGTTATCATCACTCTTTCAGCAAGCTCTTGCCTCTCCTGTCATTGTCACAGGTGAATAAACCTCATTTCTCTCTGTTTTATTATAATGCTAAATATTTTGTGTAGGAAAAAATATTAAGCAGAAAAGACTCTTTGAAGTCACCTTGCCAAGGATACGTAAGAAACGCTTGCCATCAGTGGGCTTATTTGCTGCAGCAAACCTGGCAAAATCACAAGAAATTAATCAGCCAAGTTGAAGGTTTTCATTTGAATCTAAACAAAAGGGTAATCAGAAACAGAAGAAACAAGGCCACCGGATATGCCACTTACTGATAGAACCATGTATATTGTGGTGGATTCATCTCATAGAGCTGATTCAGAACAGTCCTCACTGCTTTGTACGTGAAATAGTTGAGTAATTGCTGCAGAAAAAAAGGAAAATCAGTACTACTTGCATGATCAAAAGGGCAAAACATATAAGAATTTACAAACATCTTACCCTTTTAACGTCCCCAAAAGTATCTTCATACTGCCCTCCTAGATTGTCGACGACCACGAGTTTTCGATCCTTACGCTGCCACCTTGAACTCATCATGTTCACGGCACACGGAATCATCTTGTAAGACGACCTCGAGTCATGCCATGAATTTACAAAAGAGCTGCGTAATTCAAGCGACCCCGGTTTTACCGTGGTTAGCGTTATTTTCATCGAATTCCTTCTTTGCAAGACCAACTCCCCACCCGGATTGAGGTTCATATTGGTGGATGGCCATGCATCCAAGCACAAATAAGGACCGGTCTGAGAATCCATCATAACCGATGAACCCACAAAAGACAAAGCCCCCACCATCTTTGTTTTTTTTCCCAGTGACTTGAGCTCCAAGTAACAACACTTGCTGATCAATCCTCGAGCCAAGAAACTAAGGGATACCAACTAAAGAGAATGATTCAGTTGGTATCCAAGAAAATGGGGGGGGGGCCTTGAAGATGGGGGAGTTAAAGATTCATGCGCAAAGGGAATTGGGTCTTTTTTTTTGTTGTTGTTGAAGAATGAGGTTCTTTTGTAAGGGTGGGTGAAGCTTAAAGCTTAACCAGGTAAAGATTTTGAGGCCCAAAATTGTCCAACCCTATTTGGGTAGAAAACTTAGCTTGCATAGGTTTGATTATAAGGCTCCAACAAGTAACCACCACCTGGACGGTTGCCTAAATTCTCTTTGATAATTTGCCATTTGTTTGAATCTTGCCGTCCAAACGTACTAAATTCATCAAGCTGTTACAACACTAAAATTAGTTTTAGGGTAAACTTCACGTTTAGTACATAAACATCAATTTTAGTCTATTTTAGTACCTAAACTTTTAATTTTTTTCATAATCACACCTAATGTTTATTTTTTGTTTCATTTTAGTATATTGTCATTAAAAACTTTAATTTTTATTTCATTTTAGTACAGCATTTCAAAATTTAACTCAATTTTTTGAAAAAAATTGAAAGTTTAGGTACTAAAACATAGCAAAACTGATAGATTAGATACTAAATGCGTTAAGTTTTTAACTACGAGTAATAAAATGAAATGAAAACTAAACGTGAGGTGTGATTTAAAAAAACTGAAAGTTTAAATACTAAAATAGACCAAAATTGATAATTTAGGTACTAAATACATAATTTACCATTAGTTTTATCTTCTTCTCCAAATTATATTATTTTATCTTCTTCTTCTCCAAATGATATTATGCTATTCGTGTTTATTTATTTATTCTCGTATGAAAAAACAAGTATTTGTATTTGAATTAGTTTCATTTATCTAATTAAAAATATATTAATTCGTATACTGAATTGATTATTCCAAAAAGAAAATTTAAAGTTGTATATATATATTTTTTAAAGTGATTGAAGAATGTTTGAATTAATTAGAAATTAAATAAATAAAAAAATTAGAGATCAAATTATAAAAAAATATTTTTTAAACCATTTAATTGCATTAACAAAATGGACACGAACCTGAGACGGAGTCATGTGTATGGCTTAGGAGCCACTGTCTCTAATTTTTTATTGTTAAACAATATATAGGAAGAAAATATATTTAGACCTTTAAATTTTAGTTTATTTTGATTTTGTTCCCCTAATTTTGGTTTATTTTGATTTTGTCCCCCCAATTTTGATTTATTTTGATTTTGTCCATCTCATTTTCTATTGTTAGATAGACGTTGCCCCTCATAAATTAGAATTCTGGCTCTACCCCTGATACGAACCAATTTACCTCAGTAGTTAAATGAATCGTTGCTATTATTAGAGGTCATAGGTTCGAGCCCCAATAACATCAACATGTTGATTGATCGTTTATTGTCAAATGATTGAGAGTATTTATAACATATATTATTTGTAATCACCTTAGCTTAATAAAAAAAAGAATGAGGTTTGTTTTATAATCAAAATTAATAATGTTTAAAACTTTATTTTTTTAAAAAAATTTATCCAAAAAAATAAAAGGGTAAACTACGTCTTTAGTACAATAAGCACACGGTTGTTGAAGTTGGATATTTTTAATTTTTTTTAAATATATTTCTATGCTGTTTATCACACTTCACACAAACAAAATCCTGATTGGCTACCAAACACTGCTGTTCCATTCAGCTTCACTGAGCTCCTCTCTTCGCCTTTTCCCTTCCCGTGTTTGAAAACAAGGTTGAAACTTGTTCATTTACTTTCCTAAAACAGCGTTAGATTGAAGGGCTAGACTAGGCCTCGGCTTTTCTCTGAAGCCATGACGACGTCGTTCGGAACTGCGACGAGTGTCGTGACACTGAACGATTCAAAGATTGGATTGCAGAGCTTCACGGCGTTGAGATCTTTGCGTTCTGTTGCTTTTCTGGGAAATGTTAGCGCCTTTTCGGTTCCCTTCTCAACTCCGCTTATTAGAGCTATCTCCACGGTCACCCTAATTTCCTTTTCTTCTTATTCGTGTGTGTAAAGTGAGAGAGAATTGCTAGTATAAAATGATCAGTTGAGACTGTTTTGACCGTCACTTAACTTTTTATAGGAAATGTTGTTTGCGAAAGTGTTTTTTTGAAGTAAAATGGATATATTTTCCTTTATGCTTCACTAATTTGAGTACTATTTTCGTTTTAAAGTGTAAATTTGTCAAATTTGTATTGCATTGTTTCTGTCTGTTTTCAGCCAGTAAAGCCTGAAAAGACTACTCCAGAGCCGAAGCGAAGTAAAGTTGAAATATTTAAGGAACAAAGCAATTTCATTCGATACCCTCTCAGTGAGGAGATACTGAGTGATGCCCCCAATATAAACGAGGCAGCAACTCAATTAATTAAGTTCCATGGGAGCTATCAGCAGTATGACAGAGATGAGCGAGGTGCAAGGTCTTATTCCTTCATGCTTCGCACTAGAAACCCTGGTGGGAAAGTCCCAAACCAACTCTACTTGACAATGGATGATCTTGCCGATCAGTTTGGTATCGGAACGCTTCGTTTAACCACGAGGCAAACATTTCAACTCCATGGTATTGTGAAGAAGAACCTCAAGACCGTAATGAGCACAATCATTAAAAACGTGGGTTCAACTCTTGGTGCGTGTGGGGATCTCAATAGGAATGTGCTTGCTCCTGCAGCACCTTTAATGTCAAAAGAGTACATGTTTGCGCAGGAAACTGCTGACAACATTGCCGCACTGTTAACTCCTCAGTCAGGTTTTTACTATGACGTATGGGTGGATGGGAGAGATTCATGACGTCGGAACCTCCAGACGTTGTGAAAGCCAGGAACGATAATTCCCATGGAACGAATTTCCCCGATTCGCTTGAGCCGATATATGGGACTCAGTTCTTGCCGAGGAAGTTCAAAATTGCTGTGACTGTGCCAACTGATAACTCAGTCGATATTCTCACAAATGATATTGGTATTGTGTTAATTTCTGATGAAAAAGGGGAGCCTCAGGGTTTCAACATCTATGTAAGACATAATGTGATTGACTAAAGAAATCATCTTACACACTTCTATACCTATAAGTATCTATTTCTTGTAATTGTCATTGCAGGTTGGTGGTGGCATGGGAAGAACCCATAGGCTAAAAACCACTTTTCCGTGCTTGGGAGAACCACTGGGTTATGTGCCAAAACAGAATACTTTGTACGCTATTAAAGCCATTGTTGCTACACAACGTGATCATGGTAGAAGAGATGACCGGAAATTTAGTAGAACGAAATATTTGATCAGCTCTTGGGGGATTGGAAAGTTTAGAAGTCTTGTCAAGCAATATTATGGAAAGAAATTTGAGCCTTTCCATGAGTTGCCTGAGTGGGAATTTAAGTTACTTGGGATGGCACCAGCAGGTTTGTGTTTTAATTTGGAGATTTCATACATAAGGTCTTTGGTTTGACTTGTGTACAAGTACCGACTGTCTTTTAATCTTTTCATATTATACTTGGCTCTGACTGTTTCCAACTCAAGCATGATCTCTTAGTTTAGTAACTTTTCTGACTGGTTATAAAATTTTGGCAGGGTGATGGTGCATTATTTTGCGGGCTCCATGTAGATAGTGGTCGTGTTGCAGGGAAAATGAAAAAGGCTCTGAGGGAAGTAATAGAGAAGTATAATTTAAATGTTCGAATAACCCCAAACCAAAACATTATTTTGTGTGACATTCGCAGTGCATGGAGGCGTCCCATGTTGAAAAAAAGCCAAGTTGGCCACATGGCCAAAAACAACTTTCGGTGGTTTAAATAAATGCATCGATTTTTTGGTTGAAATTTGAAAAATGGTAAAATCATTTTTAGTCATTATAATTTAGGGTATTTATAAATTAATCCTTAAGTTTCAACTATAAATATCCTAGCTCATTTAGCTTCAAAAATATCCCAAAACATTCTAGCTTTCTTCCAATACTAGAGAATTTAGAGAGTTTCTTGAGAGTTGTTTTCTCCTTTTTTATCGAGAGAGAATTATCATTGTTTTCTCCTTGGTAGATCGAGAGAGGTTGTAATTCCTATTTTCTCATAGTGAAATTCTTCTACCGTTGCCCGTGGTTTTTACCCTAAATTTTTAGGGGGTTTTCACGTAAATTTTGTGTCTCTTTTATCTTCATTTTTATTTTCTCAAATTATCAGTTGTGATTTTGCTCTATCCGATAGCCGTCTTCCGCAATTGGAACAATCATATCTTCACACAATTCTTTCTACCTTGTACCTTCATGTTGCTTACGTCTCTGACAGGCCACAAGAGGATCGACACCAGGTAAATTTATCAGCATTGATCACCTTCGTCATGAAATCTGCTATATTGTCTTTGATATGGACCTTCTGCATATCTACCGTCCCTTCTTCCACATTTTCACGAATGAAATGGTATTGAACTCGTATGTGTTTTGTCCTTGAATGAAATGATGGATTCCTTGCTAGATGCAAGGCGCTTTGACTGTCACAAAACAGAGAGACATACTCTTGATTGTGCCCAAGCTCCTCCAATAACATCTTCAACCAAATTGTTTATTTACTGGCTTGTGTAGCTGCTACATATTCTGCTTCTGTTGTGGATGTAGCCACAATTGATTGCAATTTTGAAACCCAGCTTACAGCTCCACCAGCAACTTTAAACACATATCCTGTAGTAGATTTGCTTTTATCCAAATCCCCTGCATAGTCAGAATCAACATACCCATTGATAAGTAAATTTGATCCTCCGTAACATAATGCAACATTTGAGGTCCCTTTGATGTATCTCAGGATCCTCTTTACTGTATTCCAATGCTCTTTGCCTGGATTCGCCATGTACCGACTAACCACTCCCACTGCTTGTGCAATGTCTGGTCTTGTGCATATCATAGCGAACATTAAACTTCCCACTGCTGATGCATACGGTACTCGAGACATATCCATTCTCTCTTTTTAACTGCTAGGACTCATACTGGAGGATAATTTGAAGTTAATAGGAAGAGGGGTAGAAATTGGCTTACAATCTTGCATGTTGAATCGTGACAAGATCTTCTTCAAGTAATTCTTTTGTGAAAGCCAAATCTT